GACTCAGGAATCAGCCTGCCTATTAACCCGAGGTGTCGCTTGCTGGCTGTCTGAGCCTCAGGTCCTCATGGGCCAGGGGACAGAAGGCAGGACAATAAAACTGGGGGCACCCAACAATGTACGAAGGAGACAGAAAAAGGGCCTATCACTATGCCCTTTGCCAGCCCTGCTCAGGGTACTTGCTTTTAGTGATGCCAATACCTGCTGTGTGTGCTCAGAAGTCAGACTTCAGACACATGCACAGGGAGCAGGACCCAGCCTGGGTCTGACACTCCTGTTCTCTCCACTACATCTCCTTTGGTGCCGTGTTTAGGTGGAAAGACAAAAGAAGCAAACGAACCCATGAGTACATCCGGGTTTCTATGCAGAAAGGTGAGGACGACACAGCAGCTATTGCACAGCCTGCTCATGGGAGATAAAACCTGCTGGCTGGCGTGGCGCTGTCCATGACAGACTGCTAATATCAATGCCCTGACACAGGCTACAAAAAAAGGAGAAAAACCAGCCGTTCGGGTAAAACCACTCCACCACTTTCCTGCCATCCAGGCCACTCACCTCACCCAGCTTGCTAGCCCTGGCAGCTGTGATTGATGTGGCGTGCAACAGGATACAGCAACCTCATGCTGTGGCCCAGAGCGAACTTCCCTGCCAGCGCTTTCCAAACTCCTACTTCCCGGCACTGCCTAAGTTATTACCTCAGCAAGAGAGTTCTTATCCCTCACACCTTTATTCACCCAGGGCCAATGTTTGTTCGATGGTTAGAAATTGGTTATTCAGTGCTGTGATCTGACTGTCTGTGTACTCCCAAACCCATAAGTTGAAATCCTAACTCCCGCTCTGATGGTATTTGGAGGTGGGGTCTTTGAGAATTGACTAGGTCATGAAGACGTCACCTTCATGAATGGAATTAGTGCCCTTGCAAAAGAGATTCTGGAGAGCTCGCCCACTCCTTCCGCCAAGTGAGGACAGAAGGAGAAGGCGCCATTTCTGAACCAAGAAGCGGGCCCTCAACAGACACCCAATCTGCCGCCCCTTGATCTTGGACTTCCAGCCACCAGGACTGTGAGAAATACATGTTGTTGTTGTTTAAGCCACCCAGTCTATGATATTTTGTTATAGCAGCCTGAATGGACTAAGACATTTAGGAAATGATTCTATAAAAACAACTTCTAACCAGTTGTGTGACAGAGGCTGTCCAGGTTTCTCCTGGACGTACATGGACACACGCTGTCTCATCCCAACTGCCGCGGAGAGGGGCGGTGGGGCACGGGGACCCTCTGAGCCTCGTCTCCTCCCCTGGAATGTGGGCAAACCTCCCCCTTGGCAGGCACACCATGCTAAGTAAGTGGCGGCTCTATCACCTTGCTACTGTTGTCATTGTTCTATTAAACAATTGTGCCTCCACTTCAGAAGCCCCACTCAGACAGAGAAAGGGGAAAATTGGGCCCTCCATTTACCTCTAAAGGTGTTCCTGTTTTTTTGTTAATTAAAAGAAAAAA